GCACTTCAGAAGATGGAAGACCCACACACAGGTTTAACTGGGGGTTAAGTTGTTCCAAGAGAAATGTCTAAAGCAGATGGTCAGCTCTCTCTCTTTTTAAAAAAGATTTATTTATTTATGCATACAAGAACTGGGGCACAGGCCAGAGGTGTGGGGGTGTGAGAGAATTCACTAGAGACAGAGTAGGGAGCAGAACAGGCAGACTGACTGAAATACACTGCTGAGGGGAGCAGCAGGCAAGTCAGGAGAGGTGTGTCATGCCATGTGGGTCAGCTCCCTGGCTGGGGATCGAAATCGTGCTGCAGTGGCTGTAGACAGCCTCATTGTGCTGCATCTCAAACACTTGTACCACCAGGGAGGCCCAGATGGTCAGATCTCTTGCTCACCATGGTAGCCCCTTTGAAGAGTACCTGCTACACTAGTCCAAGTCCTCAATAAGTATTTGTCAAATATTTGTTGAAACTAATCTGCTTGCCATTTGCAATTTTTACTAATTACATTTGGTGTTCTACTACCTAAAAGTTCTTTTATAAAGGATTTAGCAGAAAGAAAATCATTTCCTGGCTTCTGGTAAATGTTATTGTCTGTAAGAATTTCACTAAGAGGATGGTGCCTTCCTGATTTCATTTTACCCAGAGGTAAGAGGAATCAGCCATTACTCTCTCTGGCCCCACCTTCCTGCACACCTGCTCTCACACCCACTCAGACCTCGCAGCCAGGAGGGCCACTCACCTGTGCCATCTCCTCTCCCCTTTAGATGCCTGTCCAGTCTTAAACCTAGCACTGAACTTGTTCTTCTCATGCTTTCCATTTCTTCCCTTTCACCTCCCACTCTAGGCAGCCATGGAACTTGAAGTGTTTATTTTTACCATCTGCGTCTGAGTGTAGTTGTAAGCAGGACCAGCCTGTGTTTAAGAACCTCTCAGTTCCCCCCATAAATCACATGAAGGCTCTCAAAAGTCCTGAGCTTCCTGCCCCTCCCCTCCAGCTCCATCCTAAACCACCACCTCTCCACCTCCACCTCAGCCCCCTGAAATTCTCTAAAAGTCATGGTTAAAGTACTATCCACACAAAGTGTTTTTATTTTTTTTTTAAAGATTTATTGATTTATGCATACAAGAACTGGGGTACAGGCCAGAGGTATGGGGGGTAAGAGGACTCACCAGAGACAAGAGTGGGGAACAGAACAGGCAGACTGACTGAAATACACTGCTGAGGGGAGCAGCAGGCAAGACAGGAGAGGTCTGCTGCGCCATGTGGGTCACCTCGCTGGCTGGGGATTGTACTCATGCTGCAGTGGCTGCAGGTAGCTTCATAGTGCTGTATCTTAACCCCTTGTGCCACCAGGGAGGCCCCACAAAGTGTTTTTAAAATGCAGGAAGTTCCCTTAGTAGGTGTTCCCACTCCAGCCAGCTTCTTCTCTACTGATAGTCTCTGCTCCCACCACTTCAACAACAACCATCAACTCTCCAGTATCCGGGTTAAGGTTCTGGGTATACCTACCTGATGGCAGCACACAGAATTGCTCTGTCCTGCTATCCACCCATACTCTCACACTTCTTAAAATCTTCAGCACATTGTAGATTCCCAGTAAATGTTTATTCAAAAGAAAGTAGGGATTTCAGGGAGAACGCCTCTCCTCAGCACTACACATTTCCAATTGTCTACCAGTCACCTCTAAGACAGCTGTTTATTATGGGCATCTTGGAAATCTCTAATTCTCTCTTTAAAAAAAAAAAGCCTTATTCCCCTACCCCCAAACTCCTGGTTTCTGATGATTTTGGCTGCATTAACTTGACTCCAAGCAGAAATCGCAGCAGGTTCTTCAGTCACAGGTAACCAATCAAGACCTACCTTACACTTTTCCTCACTATCTACTCTCTTCTCCCAGCCTCACTGCCTATGTATGGGGTCGGGCCCTAGTCTCCCAAAATAATTTCCCAAACCTCCAGCCCCTCTTCCATATAGCTACCAGAGGGACTGCCCTAAAATACAGTCATCAGGCCACTGTGCTATGTGTAAACTTCTGATTCCTGGCTCCTACCCCCTAGGTGATAGATAAAATCTTAAGTCCTCACATGGCACCCAAGGCCTTTCTTGATACAGCCAGGGTAACAGTGCCCTCTCCACGCCACCCTATCTTCTCCATCTATTTTTCATCTATAGTCAGACCAAATTCACCTTCCTGCCCTGGAACCCTCTGTGTTCTCCTGCTTCTATAAATGGGGCTTCTCTGGTAAGAATCCTTTACCCCAAGATCCATCAAGGGCTCTTTTTCAACCCTCAGGGCCCATGAAATGTTTATGAAGCCTTTCTCAACTAAGACCCAGGCTGTTATGTTTATTTATAGCAGCTTCCTTCTAAAATGAGTTTGAGACAGTTTACAAACTATGTCTACACGGCAACTAGATGTTTTTTTTAAGAGAGACTATCAGGGCAAAGGCAAAAGTTAACGGACAGAAGCCAGAAATGTAATGTAGCATTCAAAACCTTTATCATAAGGTCTTATCCTTCGCCCTGAGTTTTCTATCCAGAATGAGTCAGTTGCTCCTCTGTGAGCTCACTGCCCATTGAATGAATGTGACTGTACTCTTGCATTTCCCATATTTCTTGTAATCTGTTCATTGTGTCTGTCTCTTCAGTGGACAGGAAGTTACTAAGGGAATAAGTTCTGACTCATCACTGTATCCCCCGCATGAAGCTTATGACTTAGCTAGGATGGGTGCTCAGCAGACATTTGTTGAATGAATGTCACCAGGACAGGAAAGGGGTATGTATTAGTACTAACTGAGATCCCTAGGGAAAGAATGTAACTTTATCCTCACCAAAAATTACAGGGTGAAGAAACAGCAGAGTCATGATTCAAACCCCAGCTGTCTACTGCATCAAAGCAACTGCTCTTTCCATTATGGGACCTGGTCCCTATCTTCAACATCACTGTGTCCAAACCTCCCCTCCAAACATGGGTTCAAAATCACCCTTCTCTAAGAAGATTCTTCTGATCACTCAGGAGTAAAGGGATGCTCAGTCTAGCCCCATCTTCCACACAACACTCAAGTAAGAAAAGGACATAAATCAGGAGACCAGAAGGTTCCATCTTGGTAGCTGAGAAGGGAACAGTGTTTAGATATTCTGCAGAAGGTGGGAAGTGCTCACTCTTTGCCTTCACTCTTTGCCTTCACTCTTTGCCCCTACAGCTGTTGCTAGGCTTTCTTACCTTTCTCTTCCCTTCTTTGGGTGCAAAGTCCACCAGACTAAAACCCAAAATAATCACCTCAGATCCAATGCTTCTCTAACCAAGTGCTCTCAAAACACACTCCTTCCTCACATCAGTTAGATCTTTGTAATTAAGTGTCTTTTTGATCTGTAGGGTTAGTGAGCACGCGGTGTCAATACATTTAAATAATTACACAAGAAGGACCAATGACATCTGATGGACTCTCTACCATCAGAATACCTTTCAGGTAGCCTGGGAGTAAGAGGAGGCAATCCATAAGCTCTCTTCAGCATCCCCTGCCCTCCCTCTGGCAGGATGCAATCCTGAAGTAGAATACTGCTGGGAAGGTAAACCTTGGTCCCTTACCAGTCATCTTCTTCCAAAGCTTCAGAATCTTTTCCTCTCCCACTAGTCCACCCAATCCAGTCAATTTCCTTGGTAATGCACCGCCTCATCTGACATGTTGAAATGCACACCCCTGGCCCTGATATTGTCCTATCTCCACTTTTCAGCATGTGACATATATATCCCTGCATCCTATACCCGCTCTCCTGATACTGCAGAAACATCTGTAATCTTGTATGTTACCACACCTCAGAGACACCCAGTCTCTGGAATCGGAATAGGGAAACTAAGTTCTTTCCCTTTCCTACTCCTAAATGAAAAATATTTATGCAATTTACAGTAGCTACCTCATAGTGCGGATGTGATGATTTAATTCGATAACTCACGCCAACTGTTTAGTATGTGAGGCCTGATACATACGAAGTGCTCCAAATACAGCTATGATCATTTTCGTACATTTTCTCTGGCAATAGCACCTGGGGGTAGATTACACCACGCACCCCCTCTCTACCCTCACCCCTCCACCCCCAATTACTGAACAGCGGCCGAGGCTGAGAGAAAAGGCGCTTCCCCAAGGTCAGGCGGGCACGCAGGCGATGCTCGCCCTCAGCCTCCGAGTCAGGGACCCTCCCATGACACCCCGAAACGTAGCACAGGGGTCTCAAAGGAAACAAGTGTGAAAAAGCGCCGAGTACAGAGGCCGGGGTACATTGAGAACCCCCCGATGGTTAGACCGCAGCGCTGCGGGTCACCTGGGTTCCTCCAGAGCGGCTCCCCGGACCTGGGGGTCCAGAGCCCCGGGATTCCCGGTGCGCCACCGAACCTCCCGGAGCCCGCGCGCTGGGGCTTTGAACGCCGCAGGCCGGCGCACTCACCCGGCCCCCGCGCGCGCGTGGAGGCGGCCGCCCGGCCTGCGGGGCAGGGGTCGCACCGCTCGGCCCGGACGCCCGCCATGCCCGCCAGCCGCCCCAGCACGCCCGCCCCGCGCCCCCCACCTGCGCCCCCGCCCCCGCCCGGCGGCCCGGTGGGGGGGCCTCCTACCTGCAGCAGCGGCGCGGCGGCCGAGGCGACCGGGGGAGGGGCCGGCGAGGCGCGATCGCGGGCGGCCTCGGCTCCTCTCGCGGGCTGGGCGGCCGGGAGGGCCGCGGGCTCCGGAGCGCCGGGCGGCGGCGGCGCGCCCCCGGCCGGCCAGGCCCGGCCCCGCCGCGCGCGCCGCGGCCACAAAGCCCGGGAGCCGCCGCCCCCTCGCGGGCCGCCCGCCGCCTGCGGGTCTCTGGGCGCCGAGGAGGGCGGGAGCGCGGCCCCGACTGTCCCCACCTCCCCGGGCCGCGGCCGCCGGCCTCCCCCGAGGCTCGGGGCGGGGCGCGGGTGTCCCCCGCCTACCCGCCCTGCGCCTCGGCGCTCACCGCCTAGCGCAGACCGGCTTCGCGTTTCCCACCTTTGCCGAGGAGCTCCCGAAGGGCTTGAAAACTGTGTCATTTCCATGAACAACAAAGGAATGCATGTGTCCCAGGGCGGGGGCGGCCGTGGACACGGGTTGGCTCAGTCCCGGATCCCTGAGTGAATTAGCTCCTTTTTCTTTTGGAGCTTTTGGTTAACTGAAACAGCCGCGGCTCCTCTGCAGGAGTTTTGTTTTGATTTGTTTTTTTGGGTTTTTTTCATTTGTAGGATGTGTCCCCCCCGCCCCTAAACTGTGTGCCCTTCCGAGGCCGGGCACTGAACCCTCTGGAGCCCACGACCTGGCTGAACGCGCTGCGAATTAACGCGCGGGTGAATGGAGGCACACGCGGGGGCCAGGCGTCCTTTATTGTCCCTCCCACAAGGATGGTGGCCGGGTGTTTCTTTTGCCGTATGACTTGGGAAGATTCCAAGCTCAGAGTAGGGCAGAGAGGGCTGTTGCGCTTACCTCTTTGTGTTTTTTTTCCAAGGTGAAATTCGTAGAACGAAAAATTATTTTTTTTAAACTTGTATTGAATTAACTGGATCAAAACATTCTGTAGGTTTCAGATGTGCATCATTATAAACCAACAACTGTATTTAGTATATTATGTCCACTACGAAGAGTGTATTCTTCATCTTACAACTGATCCCTTTCACCTAATTTACCTACCCCATCCAAAATTAACCACTTCACAGCAGCAATGCAGAGGGATTTGTTACATTTATAATGTTCATCAACCACCATTTCTATTAGTTTGGGAACATTTTTATTACCCCAGAATGAAAACCGGTACCCATTAAACAGTCCATATTCCTCCCTGGCAACAACCACTAACCTATTTTCTGTCCCATGGATTTGCCTCTTCTGGACATTTCATGTAAATGAAATCACAATGTGTGGCCTTTAATGTCTGTCTTCACTTTTAAAAACAATCTGTGTCATTATTGTCGGTGTTGTTTATTTAAAAAATGATTGGCCACTTGCAGAAAACTGACAAAAAAAACTTATATTGAATTCTATGCCTCCTCAAATCAAGAGAGTAGACTAAGACCAAGAGCAGGGCATCTACTCAGACCTATAATGTGGTTGCTGCCCTCCAGCTCCTTATTCTCTACCTTAGGTCTCTCCTTGTTCCTTACAGTTGGACAAGTTTCTTAACCTGTTCCAGTTTCATCTGTGGAGTAACAATACCTACTTAGTAGGGTTAGTTGAGAATCGAACAAGATGCCAAATTTATAAAGGCTGTTGACTTAGAAATCAGATTGTAATACAACCAAGAAAGCATTAATTCAAGAATAAGAATCGTGATTGGTGCCCACAATCAAAGTACAGCCCCAAGATATATTGTACCAGGGTTAGGGCATGGAGGCGTTTTAAAAAATTAAGCAGAGGAGGAGCCCAAGTTTTAGGTTATTTGTTTGAAATTTTGGGGTGGGTAACAGGAGTCTTTAGACAGAAGGTTGCAATGTGGTGTGTTCGTGTAAAAATCGGTCGATGTCCTTTCCTCAGTGAGAGAACAGGATACTGTTGTTCCTTCATAGTGTCATTGATAAGAAGTCAGTGGGTGTGTGCTCTTTCATAGTCGCTGACAGGGAGTTGAGTCAGGCTTCTTACTTTTCACCTAGAAGTCTCAACATGGCAGCTTAGAGACAAAATGGAGTCTGACTCAAACTAGATTGCACAAGGGCTTGCCACAGTGCAAGTTACAAAGAAAAAACTCAATAAAGGTTAGATATTATTTTATGATTAATAATAAAGTTATTATTACTTCTTTATAGAAAGAGTTAAGGGAAGTATGTGATCAACACAGTCTAGAAAAAGGAAGCCATTCAGAAAAAATCCATCTGTGTAACCATTTCTCAAGGGTCCATTCCCATGATACACTGCACCCCAATAACTTGTTGAGAGCAACTTGGAATATGCTCTTTCCTTTGCTCAGAGTCAGGCTCACCAAGCAGTCATCACACAGGAGTTAGTTTCCATAGAAGTTTTCATAAGAGAGGGAAATGCACTAATCATTCAACTTCCAGAAACTACAGTTCTCTGGAAATGTATACATTAGTGTTTAGTTTATCATCTGTCTGCTATGATTTTGACTGGCCAGTCTCCTTAAAAATCCAACTTAATATGGATACTATAAACTATTTTTGTCAAATTCCTTTGATAGCAAGGAAGAGAGGCTCATCCAAACTTGACAAAGGAAAAGATGATTGTTGAATTTTAATTAATTCAAAGATAGAAACCTAAAAGCCAATAGGAACCAACTTTTATCTCTCTCATTTGAAATCAGTCTCTGTCTCCGCCTCTCTGGCTTTCTTTGTTTTTCAGTCTCCTTTCTTTGTCTTGTTTGACCTTTGTCTCCTGTGTATGTGCTTCTTTCCTCTCTCCCAGTCTGCTCCCAGTGCTTACTCACCTGCATTTGGCCATCACCAGCACCGCAGCCCAGGGTGGAAATGTTCCCCATGTTGCTTTGTTCATATTTACCCACACAGGAATGTGATTGGCTCAGCTCATCATTTCAAGTCAGAATACAAACTGGCAGCCTGCAAACTGATGGCTTTTGGACTCACTTCTGATGCAATCAGCTGTTATAGCACGGAAGAAAGGTATCATCTGGTCCAAAAATAGCCACTCAACACAGCAAACACTGAATGGGATATGCACTCAACGTTGGCATGGGTGGGTAGATGCACTGCAATCACTCTATTAATACGACCATAGTTCTGAACTAAATATAGGATAAAAAGGATAAAATGTATTGCCATCCACTTTCTGATGGTGGAAGCAGACTGGGAGGTGTAGTTCAGAAACTGAAATATTGGAACTTCTGAAGCATCTTGATAGATAATGACAACAATGGACCAAGATTGTTTAAATTGAAACTTCCCTGGAAAATTTTGGTCATTATAAAATGGCAAGTGATCTTATAAAGCAAAATGCCTATATTACAGAACTGTGCAGAGGATTAATGAGTTTATATATGTAAACCACCTTAGTGGCTTCTATGTAAATATCTCGCCCTCCAATTGCGTTCATTGAGGCAAAGTTGGTTTACACAATTAGATTTGTTTCCCGGGTTATAGGTTCAAACCTCTACATGTATGTTTTTACATCATGCCCACCACCAAAGCCCCGATAATCTTCAACCATGCTCCAATCAGGCCAGCCTGCACCCTCGTCTTCTGGTTGCCTCAGTTTTGCAGTCAAATGTCAAGGGTTTGTTATTGGTTTGGTTTTGTCTGACCCTTTGTTTTATTTCTCTATGTTCCATATATAAGTGAAACCATCCAGTATCTCCTTGTCTATATAAATATTAACTACTATTATCACGTTATGGAAGGATAGGGTTCTGTGGTGACCCCCTCTTTAAATATGACTTCAAATAGGACTGTCCTTGTCATGGGGGTCCAGGATATAAGCATACTCCATCTTGAGCCAGGGTCCACAGGAGAGGGGCCTGCCTCGTTTATCTATAACATGCCAACCCGAAACAAACTGGATCTACTAATTTTGACTCTGTAAAACAAGATTTGCTAGAAATACTGATTACAAACTCCAAACGGCAGAAATGCTGATAAATTAAATTTAGAAGAGAATATTTTCATAGGAAACATTGATTCTCTGATTCTATTAATTATAATTTCAGTAAAATAAAAATGTAAAAATTTGGAAATCATTTAACTGTGTTAGCAGACCAAGGAAATGAGTGTAACAGAGTTGACCCCAAAAAATATATTATCAACAAAAATTCATGAGTGATGTTGTAATTCCAATCATTATTCTTATGTTCACAGACTTAGATTCAAAATGCCTTTCAGGGCCTCCCTGGTGGCACAAGGGGTTAAGATGCAACCTATGAAGCTGTCCGCAGTCACTGCAGCACGAGTTCGATCCCCTGCCAGGGAGATACCCACATGGCGCAGCAGACCTCTCCTGACTTGCCCGCTGCTCCCCTCAGCAGTGTATTTCAGTCAATCTATCTGTTCTGTTCCCCACTCTGTCTCTGGTAAATCCTCTCACCCCCCACACCTCTGGCCTGTACCTCAGTTCTTGTATGCACAAATAAATAAAAATCTTTAAAAAAAAAAACAATAAAAGCTAAAATGCCTTTTAGTCAAATGAATGGGGTAAAATAGCAGGGCCAAAACCTAAGTGTTTTTTAAAAATTCTATTTCTCACCATAGACCCCATGCACTACACAGCTATTCTTAGTCCTTAGAAGTTAATTCTTAAAATCAGTGGTTTGAGAAGCACTTCGGTAGAGAGATAAGAACAGAGAGTCCAGGTGTGACAAATAATTTTCACAGAATTTAACAAGTTGACCCTAAAATTCATCTGCAAGAGAAAATGTTCAAGAATATCTAAAAAATTTTTGCAAAAGTTCAGAGAGAACTAGCCCTACCAGATAACAAAATATTCTATAAATTTATAGAAATTAAACCTGATTATTGCTATGTAATGGACTGTTAAATTCAAGAAATAAAATAAAACCCAAGGAATAAAATAGAGCCCAAGCAGACTCTTTAACATGTGAGATTATCACACTTTAACCTATAAGGAAAAGTTGATTAGTCTATAAGTGAAGTCAAAATTAACTATCCATTTACAAGAAATAGCATTTCTACTCTATATCATATTAAAAAATTCCAGAAGGATTTTAAAGCTACATGCAAGAGTATATAAGTATGCAAAACAACATACAGAACTTGTTTGTATTATCATAAAAGGAAATATTTACTTATGTAATATACAAAATGCGAAGTTATACAAGGCAAAATGGATAAATTTGACTATGTAAAAACTGACCTCTCACACACAGTGTTCAGATCTTAGATCTTCATATGATTTACCAAATAAAAGGAACTAGGGTTTCCTAGAAAAATAATTGTTTCTGGGATTGGTATAGGAAATAAACAAGGTGACCCTGGAGCTTTTTGTAGTACTAGAAAGTAAGGAAAAACAAACACACACACACACACACACACACACACACAATTAAGGGATGTGTTGAATGGATACAGAGACAATAGAAAAAATTTCCAGGCACCAAAACTGGAAGAATTTGAGCAATAAAATCAATAAAATGTAAAATAGATAACCAATAGTCTATATTGATATAAAAACTGATTGAATAAATAAATACCTAAATACATAAATGGGAAAGAATAGACAAATCTGGCATGCATAAGCGGTCCAAATATCTTATCAAAATACGCCTCCCTGGTGGCACAGGGGGTTAGGATGCAATCTCTGAAGCTGTCCACAGCCACTGCAGCATGAGTTCCATCCCCAGCCAGGGAGCTACCCACATGGTGCAGCAGACCTCTCCTG